CCCTCTCCCTTCCCCTCCTCCTTATGAAGCCACATCTAGGCATTCAGAGTTGAGAGCCCCATGGGAACATCTCAGGAATACCCGACTGGGAGCTGTTGGGTGTACTTGACAATGAGGCCTTTCTATGTGGGTGAGAAAAGGCTAGAAATTTCATTCTGTAAAACTTAGAAGCCAGACAGGAAACTCACTTTGTACTCAGACAGCCCTGATGAAATAGTTTTCCCTTCCTGGCTATACTGAAGGGATGGTGGAAATAAGTGGACACAGACTCGTCACTTGCTCTTCCCCTGGGACTCAGTCCTGTGAAGAGGAACAGGGTTTTCATTCCGGAGGACGACTGACACCATTATTCTCTCGGACATAACCGAAACCACTAATCTGGCATGTTCTGAGGACTATTATCAGGCAGTCGGGATCTGGTTCTAGACCTATCCGGTTATCCAACACATTCCTTATATAGACACCCACCCACGACTGTGACACTCAGAAACTGCTGTCAGGACACTGACATTCTTTGTTTTTCAATTTTCTTTTCCTAATTTTTGCCATTTTTATTTTTATTTCCTCTTCAATCTGTAAGGGTGTATTAAGTACGCGCTTGCAGCCTATAAGTAAAGAATAGTAAGTGTTCTGGTCTGAACTTGTGCTTCCCCATCTCTATGTGGCAAATAATAAATAGTTGTATTTTGACTGACACGTAGTTAGTGCTCAGTTAAGTCGTAATTATCATCTAAAGCCAAGGTCAGAGGCACTGTGCTAAATATCTCAGGAGTTTTGAATCAAAAGCTAAAATTGAGGATATTAGATAGGCATTTTATATAACAAGAGAGAAAACAAATTTTCATAAGATTTTTATTGATGCAAGTGAAAACATAATATTTGAGCATGGTTTTCTTTTAAAAAATATATAGTTCTAATAAGAAAAGTGGAATTCTTTTTTTGAAGAGAACATTTCACCTAATTGGAGGGCAAATGTAAAATCCATCCTTTGTTCTCACGGGTTTTGCAGGGACAGACAGGGGCCCGGTTTGGCCACGGGCTGCAGATTGCTGACGCCAGATCTAAAGGCCACAGGATGCAGGAGAAGGAACTTTGGCTTTGGAGTCAGTGTGGCTGTCAGCTGTGTAGTATTGAGACGATCCCTGAATCTCTCCGAACCTCACTTTTGCCATCTCTAAGAAAGAAAATAATGATTTTCCTAACAGAGAAATAACTCTGGAAGGGGAAGCAAGTCTTTTGGGTTTGTGTAAGAGGTATTGGTGGTGAGTACCAAGTTTTGAGTTCAGTGCTGGTTGTAGGCATGCCCTAAGGACAGGACAGCCATCATCACCATGAGCAGCAGCTCTGAAGGACAGGGGATAATTCCAAAATGGCCCAAGAAGATTTTATGGATTGAGAATGTCAAGTCCTCATTCTTTAGAGAATGAGAATAGGCAAATTATAAATGCGTGATGGGTGAATACTGAATGAATATTTATCCACTCTCTCTGCTCCCGGGATCAGGCAGAAGAGAGAAATCTTGGACTCTCACAGTTCAGTTCTCCCAGACTCCATCACCCTCCCCTATGAAGTCTTTTTCAGAACTAAAGCTGAGGAACAACATGCACTGAGTTCCACCTTGTCGTGGTTCCCAAGCTAGCCAGTGAAAATGTCACCAGTAGTAAGAAACAGATAAAGGAGACCCAGACAGCAAGAGGAGCAGAGGCAGCTCAGGGGCTAGCTGCGTTACCTACCAGAGGCCTGTGGGAAAGCTGCTTCTCACCTCCAGGCCTTGGGCATGCTATTCCGCTGCCACATCAGAACACCAGAACGCACTCTGCTGGGGACCCTCTTAGCACTTCAGACAATTCCCTGACTTCGGTCTCCCCACCAGACCCAGCTTGGTTCCCACAGAAAGCCATGGAGTCAAAGGTTAAAGTTTGAATCCCAGCTCTGTTTCTTGTCTGTGCCCCTTAGACAAGATATTTCATCTTCACTGAGCCTCATTTTTCTCATCTGTAAAATGGGTGCATCCCCTATATAAGTGCATATCCTTCCCAGAGGGTTGCCAGGAGGACCAGGTAGGAAAGTGGCTGACTTCTAAGCCCTCTTCTCCCTGAGAGGCCTCTCCTGCTAAGGTGCCCCTGCTGGTGCCCCCCCAAGTCTCTCACTCTCCATTTCCTTATCTTAGTACTTGCCACACTCTGTGATTATCTCACCTGTTTATTTATATATTTTTCTTCCTCCCCCTCACCCCAACACACACATAGTCCCAGGCTCCCTGAGGGCCCTGGCTGTATCTGTCTAGGTTGCTCTGTATCCCAGCACCTAGCCCAGGGGTTGGCACACAGTAGGTGTTCAGTAAGCAGGGTGAGTCACTGAAAAGCAAGAGAGCTGTCCAGACAGCTGTCTCTGGAGCCCAGCCGCCTGCCACACCTCATCTAAGCCTGCCTCTAAGGTGCAGACAGGGCATCACCTGCTAATGTTTTCCACGGTTGTCTGTTGTCCCCTAGGTGGGATGTTGGAGGGCAGAGGTCACCAAATATTCACTGCGGCTCTGCTGCGTGCCAGGTATTGGGTATATATCATGGCCAGTAGAATCAGATGTGGCTCCAGGTCCCAAGGTGCTTCTGTCTAGTGTGGACAGAACCTATATCAAACAATCATACAAAGAAAGGTGGGAAGAGAGGCTTGCATACAGGACTGACCGCACTTGGGGGAGGGTCAGAAAAAGCTTGCCCAGAACTAAAGATCTTTAAGTCTGATACTCCAAGAATGAAAAGGAATTAACCAGGCGAAGAGGAGTTGGAACAATGTTCCCAGAGCGGCAAGTGCAAAGGCCCTGTGGCAAGTGGCGCATTCCTTTAATCAGCAACTACGGGAAGGAATTTATGTTCCAGGCCCTATAGATGGTCCTGGGTCAGAGCAGTGGCTAAGCAGCCTTGTTCTTCCCTCTGCAGCTGACCACCTACCTACACAGACTTGAGTCAACCCATTACACAGCAATCCAGAAATGTTATTAGCTAACATTTACTGAGTCCAGACAATGTGCCAATCCATGGCTCTCAAAGTCCTTTTGGTGAATCTGTGAGATCAAAGTTTTGCACGAGTTCCAAATAATTCATATAAATAAACCCACCCTTGAGGAAGTAGAGCAGTCTATACATGGGGAATACATAGTGACTTCCTTCCAAAGAGAACAAGGTGGAAAGGAGGAGCAAAGAGTCACTTTGCAATGCAGACTCTGACAAACTGCCTCTGCAGCCCCACTGCAGTAAGTCATGGCGACAGCACACACCCTAGGTAGGAGGTGGGGAGAGCGGCAATTTGCCTCTGTGACCTTCCCCAATGTAATCTTGATAATAACATTGGCCAAATTCCAACTAAGAGACCTTTGACGAACTACCTGGTGGGTGCTCCTCAAAACTGCCACAGTTATGGAAAACAAATTCTGAGAAACTGTTACAGCCAAGAGGAACCTAAGGAGACAAGACCACTCGATGTAGTGTGATATCTTGGATGGGACCCAGAATAGACAAGGGCGTTAGGTAAAATCTATGAACATCTGAATAAGGTTTGGACTTTAGTTAATAATAACATATCACCACTGGTTGATTAATTGTGACAAAATACCGTATTAGTGTAAGATGTTAAGAACAAAGAAAACTAAGTGTGGGGCACATAGGAATTCTGTGTACTATTTTTGCAATTTTGCTGTAAAGCTAAAACTACTTAAAAATAAAAAGCTTATTAAAAACTAATTATGCCTGGCTCATGGCTGTAATCCTAGCATTCTGGGAGGCTGAAGCAGGTGGATTGCTTGAGCTCATGAGGTCGGGACCAGCCTGAACAAGAGGGAAACCCCGTCTCTAAAAACTAGCTGGGAATTGTGGCAGGCACCTGTAGTCCCAGCTACTCAGGAGGCTGAGGCAAGAGGTTGCTCAAACCCAAGAGTTTGAGGTTGCTGTGAGCTATGATGCCATAGCAATCTACCAAGAGTGATAAAGGGAGACTCTGTCTCAAAATATAGATCCATTCCAAGTGAAAGGGGGACCAACAGGTTTTAACATAACCAAGTAAGAAAGATTCATTGATACGCCTTTTGATTTCGCAGTGCAACTAACTTCAGAAACTACCATCTGTTGAATTCTATCACAGTATCAAAAAAGAATATACCCACAATTATCTGGAAAAGCTATTACAGTAGTCATCTCTTCCTGCTTTATATAAATACGAGGGCAGATTTTCTTCATGTATTTCCACCAAAACACCATAACGCAGAAGATGAAATGCAGAAGCAGCTGTGGGAATCCAGCTGTCAGGAAAGAGATTTGCAAAAATGTAAATCAATGTCTTCAATTTTTCTTCTCACTAAATTTTTCGTTTTGGAAAATATAGTTATTTTTAGTAACAAAGTGTTACTAAAATATTTGTATTTGTTAACATCTATTTTAGTAACATTTTGTTAACTAAAAATTGTTATTTTTAGTACATAATGTTTTATATATATATATACATATTACAAAATGTTACTAAAATATATTACAAAATGTTACTAGAATATATTTTAGTAACAAAATTTTTAGTTAACAAAATGTTACTAAAATAGATGTTAACGCGTTGTAGGTTTATTGTTGTAATTTTAAATACATTAATGAACAGATATTGAATTTTTTCTCAATTTATAATTTCTTTTGTCTGATAAATATGAATAGCCTTTACCCACATGAACAAAAACTCTGAGGGGATCTCACTAATTTTTAAGAATCTAAGAGATCTTGAGATTCACCAGCAATTTGTGAATCACTGTGCTAAATGAATAACTTTCTGTTAGTTCTCACAAAAAACCCATTAGGTAGGCAATATTATCATCCCATGTTGCAGAGACAAGACTGAGGAGCAGGGAAGTATATTATCTTGCCCAAGCTCACCCAGGAAACAGAGAGGCTGGAGCTGGGATTTGAACCGTGGCACAGTGCATTCCTGACTTCTTTGTATCTGGATCTTTCCCCACCTTCCAGGTCTGTGAGCTCTGCAAGGGTGTCGTCCCTGTTGACAGCCCCGTGGTCTACGCAGACAGGGCAGGCTACAGTAAGCAGTGGCACCCGGTCTGCTTTGTGTGTGTCAAATGCTCTGAGCCGCTGGTGGACCTCATCTACTTCTGGAAGGACGGTGCGCCCTGGTGTGGCCGCCATTACTGTGAGAGCCTGCGGCCCCGGTGCTCCGGCTGCGATGAGGTGGGACATAGTGGGCTGAACATGGGCTTAGGGGGGCACTCCTACTTTTGAGGGGAGGGTGTAGAGCCCAGTGGGAGTGTGGCTTTGTTGATGATGTGCTGTACAGATAGGGAAACTGAGTCAGGCCTTACTACATAAGGTCTGCCTCCATTTTCTCATCTGCAAAATGGGGCTAGTACTAATTCCCACCCTTGAGGTTGCTGGGATGGGTCAGACCCAGAGTGCCCTGAGTCTTGTCCTTGGCACAACGTTTGGTACTTAGTATTCAGAAGCACATTAGGGGGTGTGCCAGGAGGAGGCTGCCCACACTGAAACAGGGATCTGCATCTATTAGTGTGGTCATGTGGTTGCCTAACCCTCATGCCTCAGTTTCATCACATATATTAATAAAAATGGGGATGAGAATAGTGCCCATCCCGTGAAGATATAGGAGAAATGCGTGAACATGCTCGGCACTGAATGCTAACCTAGTAACTCATAAATGGTAGCTGCTATCCTTCTTATGATTATAATATAATATAATGCAATAATTTAGCATTAATGTAATACAATACAACGTAAAGTTGTAAATGCCACAGAGGGGATTCAAGTCTCTGATACAGGTTTAGAACAGAGAAACTCCAAAGTGTATTAATAATGATACTAATGACAATAATAGTAAGTACTCTTGAAATGCCATTGGTAGCAGCAAATGTGCTACCTTCATCTTTGGCACAGATGAGGGCTCAACAGGTCTTCATATTCAGCCAAAATCTGCTTCCTAGAACCTTCTATATATTGGTCTCTGTGTACAGTTAAAACTCTGCAATCCTCTTGCCTAATAACTGGGTTATCAGATGGTATTAAGAAAGAAAAGGGCTGTTGCAGGCCTGCCCATACCTCATGTTTCAGGGGACAGTGGTATATTCACAGTAACAAGTCTTCATAAGGACTTATAATGGGTCAGTAATCTGCTACATACTTGGTAAATATCTCACAATAATCCTTTAGGGAGACTCTTACGATCTCCATTTTACATGTGAAGAAAGTGTGGTTCAGGAAGGCCGATGACAGTCACATGGCGCTGACTCCGTGTTGGTCACGCCTCCAGACATTTTATATAGAGGAGGACAATTAGCATCCATAAAGCCTAGGGGATGGGAAGTGTCCGTGTCCCCATTTTACAGATGTGGGATCTGAGGCACAGAAAGGAGGTACTTTGCCCAAAGTCAAGAAGCTGATAAATGTGTAAGTGACAACTCGTACCCGGTTCCTGTTTGACTTCAGAATCAGAGGCCTGTTCACCATTGTGCTATTCTGTTCTTCCTGAGACTTGGGGGCTCCTTGCATATGTATATTCCAAAGTGTCACTTTATTCCAAGCCCAGGCGACCCCCATACTCTGGCTCTTGGGGTTGGCCATAGGCAGCTGCTCTATCATTAAGCTGTCTCTCCTTACCAGGGTGTGTCCATTTTGGCCCAGAGAGTTTCACAGATTCTCGATAAGTAAAAACTGCCTGTGGTGAAGGACTTCTCCTTCCATCTGAGAAGCTAAAATGTAACCATGACCCTTAGCAAGTACTGTACTTACTGCCTCAAATTTACAGCAGATTTCTCCACTGAGGCTCTTAAAAGTCAGAATAAGAATGGGATGGGATGGGACGACCACCTTCCTATAACTTGTCCTAGACACACCGTCTCTCCCTAGGGATAGAACCCGAGTCATGTATTTCTTCTGCTCCCCTCCCCAGATAATATTCTCAGAGGACTACCAGCGTGTGGAAGACCTGGCCTGGCACCGCAAGCACTTTATCTGCGAGGGCTGCGAGCAGCTGCTGAGCGGCCGGGCATACATCATCACCAAGGGGCAGCTTCTGTGCCCAACTTGCAGCAAGTCCAAACGCTCCTGAACGGCTGCCCACCTGCAGCCAGAATCCACAGGATTCCACCAAGAAGGAGAGAGCCCGGCACGCTGGGCCATCCTAAGCGTCTAACGCCAGAGCCAGTGAGCAGCATAAAACAGTGATTTGTTTGTCGGTGGAAAGACATATAATATATTCTAGGTTAGGTGGTGGTGGATCCTGGAGGGTCAGTAGTTTCAAAACCAGAAATGTTCCAAGAAGTCTTAGGACGGAGTTCTTTTCTGGTTTTGTTGTTGTTTCCCAGCTGCACCCAACTAAAGACATCCTGCAAGGCATCCGGCAGGGGAGCTCAAGGAGGAATTTCCCAGAATGCAATTCCGAGTGACCGCATCACATAGCTATAGAATGTGAGTGCCTTTCTGTGGACATGGGAGCTCCTCCAAGAGCAGGCTGGGATCCCAACTATTGCTTGCTTCCTCTTTTTTCAAGTGGAATTTGAATTTTAAATAAACAACCTTTTTTTGTGGCATGATAAACATATCAATAAAAGTTTTGTGAATTCTATGTACACTCTTATCTAATTATTTACACTATGGCAGTAATTTGACGACATCTATTTAACCCCATGACCCTGGTGCTGGCAGAAAATACCTCCAATGATACTAATGAGTCTCTTTTTTCACGCGTCTCATCAGATTTCCATTGGGAGCGCAGGCCCTTGGGCAGAACCTTCCACCTGTCTCCTGAGTCTATATACAGTATTCCCAGATCACTGATGGAACAAGCATGTCACATTTCTTGATATACCCAAAAGTGGCCTCCTGGAAACAGATCACCTTCTCTTTAGCCAGGGACCTGACCCAGCTGCCCTCAGAGCCCAGGCAGGTAATGACTGAAACCCTCTAAGAACAACACCAGTGTTTGGGAAGCCACCAAACATAGCCACTTAAGCTCGACCAGTGGGTGCCGCTTTCATGTGAAATCTCTCCATTTTTAAATGTTGCCAACTAAACATTGAATGAGCCAAATAGACTAGGTCTTTGGGCCAGATTTTGTCTCCCTTTTACGGTCTCTCTGAGCCTTTTCAGCCCTCAAATTAATTTCTGTCCCAAAATTTCTAAAGAAAAAAAAAACGAAAACCTAACTTTCCTACTGGAGATAAAGGATGAAAAAGACAAACGTCCTGGGAGCTCACAGTCCAGTCACTAGTGGTTTTCTTTCTTAAATGTCCCCATCTGCCAAGTTGCTTCAATTTCATCTTCCAAATTTTGCACTCACTGTCTCTTTTTGTGGGCTTTCCAAGTTTGATCAAAGCTATTGCGATATCCTCCTAAGGTGGTGGTTTTCTGCTTCCAATTCTCTCTAGTCACCCACAGTTTCCCTGTTGGGTCATCTTCTCAAAGATGGGGGTCATTTCTCAAAGTAGTGTGTCATTCTTTAGTCATTGGTTACTCAGGATACTTCATACCAACAATCTTATGGGCCCTCCAGACCTCCTGGTTCAGCAGACCAGGATTTCCTCCCACCCACCTTGAAGCCCCTTTCTTGGTATCCCTTCTCATCGAGGAAGACTTTCCTGCCCTCTCCCTTCCCTTGGGTGTTTTATCTTTACCTTTATCTATAAGCTCTTAATACCCTGGGCATGCAATGATTCTTGCATGGCTTTTATTATGCTATAATTACTTGGACAGAAAAGGTTACAACTTTGAACTTCTTAAGGATAACTATTTAATCTTTGTTTCCTCAACCCTTAGTACAAACCCTGGCAACTAAATAAAAAAATTAACAACCTAGGGCTCTTGGGTGGTTTGTTTTTGCTGCCAAAATCCTCAAGATCAAAAATAAAAATTTTAGACCAAGGCACACACTGTTGGCTGCCTACACGTTAACCATTCTCCACCTCTTCTTCCTCCTTCTGGGGAGAACTCAACCTCTGCAGTTACAGAAAGGTCATGTGACTCCACACCGGCCAATGGGGCTCCATGGGGGAGTGTCTTAGAAAAGTTCTCTTCCTTAAGGAAGAGGTGTCTGGAGGAAAGGCCCCTGCCTTCTGCTTTGTTTTTTCTTTCTGTAGAATTTCAAAAGAACTTAAAAAAGTTACAAGAAGAGAACAAAGAACCATGTGACTGTTTCTGACACAGTGCTCCACCATCCCTGAATATTTTAGTGTGTAATTCCTACAAATAAGGACATACTCCTACATGACCACAGTACAACCATCAAAATCAGGAAATTAACACTGACTCCTTGGTATCATGTAACCTTGAAGCATCACCAACTGTCCCAATAATTTCTTTTTTACCAAAAAGAAGTCCAGGCTCACATTTCATTTACCGATCTTGTCTCTTTAATCTTCTTCAATTTGAAAATGCTCTTTGTTCTTAATGTTCATGACTTTGACATCTTTAGAGATGAAAGGCCAGTTATTGAATAGAATGTACTTCAAATTGAATTTGTCTAATACGTCCCTGTAATTAGACCCAGGTTATGCACTTTTGGTAGGAATACAACAGAAATATGCTGTTTTCACTGCATCCAATTAGATGGAATAGGATTTATATTTGTCCTATTGGTGTTGATATGAATGTTGAACATTTTCTTCTGCTAATATCTGAGTATTTTTCCATTGTAGACTTATGCTTTTTCCCTTTGTATTTAAGAAGTATTTTGTAGAGAAGTACTTTGAGGCTGTCAATATCTTATTCCCCATCAAAATTCCACCTACTAATTTTTGGCATCTATTGATGTTTCTTTTTTTTTTTTTGAGACAGAACCTCAAGCTATTGTGCTCTGGGTACAGTGCTATGGCATAACAGCTCACAGCAACCTCCAACTCCTGGGCTTAAGTGATTCTCTTGCCTCAGCCTCCCAAGTAGCTGGGACTACAGGTGCCCGCCACAATGCCCAGCTTTTTTTTGGTTGTAGTTGTCATTGTCATTTGGCAGGCTTGGGCCGGATTCGAACCCACCAGCTATGCTGTATGTGACTGACACCTTAGCCACTTGAGCTACAGGCACTGAGCCTCATTGATGTTTCTTGATTCGATTATTACCATGATAGTTACCAAGTGTTGATTTTTCTAATCCGGTCATTTCTTCAGCATTTACTAGCATTCCACAGTAAGGATAAGCTCTATCTTCTATCTATTAATTCATTTATTTATATCAGTTAAGCCTTTGGGTTCTCATTTTATTAAATTGTTTACAATTTAAAATTTTCCTTTTTTTTAAATTTTCCTACAAAATAAAATTTTCCTTTTGTTTTAATACTTCCATTGCCCAAATAGTCACCAAAGGAAGTTCCTCAAGTTTGTCACAGTGTCCTTCTGACATGTCCCATCATTCTTTGAACACGTTTTACATTCTGGGACAATAAAGTGCTCTAGGTTCATCTTGTATTTTCCCTGCAAGCTTTGTAATCAGGCATTTCTCAAGGAGTTCCCTGCAGGGGTGGGGGAACCTATGGCCTCAAGGCCACATGTAGCCCTCTGGATCCCCAAGTGTGGCCCCTCAACCCAATCCTAACTTCACAGAATAAATCCTTTCAATAAAGGGATTTGGAGCCAGGCACGGTGGCTCACGCCTATAATCCTAGCACTTGGGGAGGCCAAGGCAGGTGGATTGCCTGAGCTCAGGAGTTCCAGACCAACCTGAAGAAGAATAAGATACTGTCTCTACTAAAAATCAAAAAACTGACTTGGCAGTGTTATGACAAGTGCCTATAGTCGCAGCTACTGGGGAGACTGAGGCAAGAGAATCACTTGAGCCCAAGTGTGAAGTTGCTGTGAGTTATGATGCCATGGTAGTCTACCCAGAGTGACAGAGTGAGACTCTGTCTCAAATAAACAAATGAATTTGGATTCAGTCAAAAGGCCACATGTGGCCCCAATTTGTTATATTATGGAGACAGTGAACTAACTTCTGGACTTCTTGTTACATGAGACAATTATTTCCTTATTCTTTGTACAGGGCAAGTCATCTCCTTGTTGTTTAATGTATTTCTCCATCATATGGTTTTTCATTAGTCTGGATTTTGTTAATTGTGGCCAAAACCAATGGGATTAATACAAAAAAGCTTCACATTATAGTTTGGGTGAATTACACATTTCTGAAGCCATTGCACTCCCTAACTCATTTGGATTTGTTTTTAACTGGCAGACAAAAATGGATATATTTATGGTGTACAACACGATACGATGTAATATGCGTACATTGTGGAACGGCTAAATCGAGCTAATTAACACGTCCATTACCTCATGTACTTATCCTTTTTTGTAGTGAGAACATTTTAAACCTACTGTCTTAGCAAATTTCAATCAGGTCCCCTTGGGAACGCAAGCAATAGTGACATGGATGCTTGACTTACAGACTTATCAGACTTTGGCTCCAAATGTTTGGCTTCAAATATGAGAAAGTTACATGAAAGATGAGACTGTACAATGGCACGTGTGTTGGCCTTTTTGCATCTTTCTCTGCCTTTAACCAGCCGAGACTAGAGATAACACTGTCGAAGAAAGAAGTACGTTTTTCTCCTTTTTCACAACAGATGTTTGCCTTCACTCAGATTCAGTTTGAAGCAACCTGATATCTTGGTCTGATTTCCTTAGTTCTCTTATAGGAGAAACTATAAGTGTCAGCATAAAGTATTTCTTGGTCCTGACTTTGGTAAAACATTGGTTCTTGAAAGAAAGGATTTAGACTTGCAGGCAGAAGAAATATTATCTTGGTCTTGACTTTGGTAAAACATTGGTTCTTGAAAGAAAGGATTTAGACATGCAGACAGAAGAAATATTATCTACGTCTCTCCTTGTGAGAGTGTGGGCGTTCCAATCCACACCAAGCTTTGGTTAAAGCAAACCAAACAAACAAACAAACAAAAAAGGTAAAAAGGGATCTGCAGTCTACTATCTATTTTCTAGTCGAAAAGTTCAAGAGATGAGCCAGTGTCAGGAACAACTGGATCCAGTAGCTCAGTAGCTCAAATTACAAGACTCTGCTTCTTCACTTATAAGTGGGAGCTATACAACAGGTACACACAGACACGCAGAGTTGAATAACAGTCACTGGAGAGGCCAGAAGGTGGGAGGGATGGGAGAGGGGTGAGGGATGAAAATTTACCTGTGGGATGCTATGTGCACCACTTGAATGACAGAGGTACACGAAAAGCCTAGGCTTCACCACTACACAATATATCAGTGTAACGAGTCTGCGCTTATGGTTATCAAGCCTATAAAAAATTCTGAAGTGAAAAATTTGAAATTAACTCTGCTTATTTCCATCTCTTACCTCTGTTTGCCTCCAAGATGACTCCATTCTCAGGCAGGTTCACCCAGATGGTTGCAAACATGGCCGCCAGCAGCAGCTGGGCTCACTTTTGTACCTGTGTGGCCAGAATTTCTCTCTCTGTTTCGACCTTTTGATCTCAGGGCCTGAAGAATGAAACCATGAACCACGCAGGTCAGCAACAGGACAGAGTTTACTGATGGAAAGGTTGATAGAAAGATTGATTAGCAAAAGAGGGAGAACAGAGTTTCTGGTAGTGGAGGGGGGATTTCAAGTGGGA